CCGCCTTGACTACGCTACCGCTCTAGTCTCTGACCCTGCCCGTCCTCCGTCCGTCGGGGGTGCTCCTGCCCTTGGCAATGACGTCCTAGAGGACAGGCAATACGAGCTTGCTTTCCTCTCTGAGGCTGCTCCCCATCTCTGCTCCATGCTGTTAGTCCCTGAGGGTGACCCAGACGCCTTCGACATCCCGACCCCTCGCACCTACGCTGAGGCCACGTCGGGACCTTGGGCCTCTCAGTGGATAGCTGCCATGGAGCAGGAGATGGCATCTTGGAGGTCCACCGGCACTTACGTCGACGCAGTTCCCCCGCCTCGGGTGAACGTAGTCGATGGTCGGTGGCTCTTCAAGGTGAAGCGCCCCCCTGGAGAGCCGCCTGTCTTCAAGGCGCGCTACGTGGCCAGAGGCTTCAGTCAGCGCGAGGGGGTTGAATTCTTCCAAACCTTCGCCCAGACCTCGAAGATGACCACTCTTCGGGCGCTGCTACACGTAGCAGCACAGCGCGACTACGATCCTCACTCCCTCGACTTCTCTACTGCCTTTCTTCAGGGCAGCCTACACGAGCAGGTCTACCTGCGCCGACCACAGGGCTTCACTGGTACCTTCCCCCCTGGGACCCAGTGGCTTCTCAGGCGCCCGGTCTACGGCCTGCGTCAGGCTCCTCGCGAGTGGCACGACACGCTGCGGGCCACGTTAGCAGACCTGCAGTTCTTTCCGTCCTTTGTTGACCCCTCGCTGTTTGTGCGTTCTGGCCAGACTCCGTTCTACATCCTTGTCTACGTAGACGATCTGGTCTTTGCTACTGCTCACAGGGACGCACTGGCCTCTGTGAAGGCCGAGCTGCTGAAGAGACACACCTGCACTGACCTTGGAGAGCTGCGTCGCTATCTTGGCCTGCAGATCTCTAGGGACAGAGCAGTACGCACCATCACTCTGACACAGTCACACTTGGTGCGTCAGGTCCTTCAGAGGTTCGGTCTTCAGTTCTCCTCCGCACAGCCCACACCTCTACCTGTAGACCATGGGCTCTCCGCTCCCGTTCCTGAGGAGCCCGTAGAGCCCAATGGCCCCTACGTAGAGCTGGTGGGTTGCCTCATGTACTTGATGACTTGCACTCGCCCAGATCTCGCATACCCTCTCAGCATCCTGGCTCGCTTTGTGGCTACAGGCAGACACCGACCTCAGCACTGGTGTGCCGCTAAGAGGGTTTTGCGTTATCTTACATCGGGCATGGGGTTAGTGCTAGGAGGACGCAGTCCAGTGGTCCTTACTGGGCACACAGACGCTTCTTGGGCAGACGACTCTGAGACGCTCAGGTCGTCGCAGGGCTACTGTTTTAGCCTTGGTTCGGGTGCTATCTCTTGGAGATCCACTCGCTCGTCGTCTGTAGCTCAGTCCTGCTGTGAGGCTGAGATGTACGCTGGTGCCATGGCGGCACAGGAGCTCTGCTGGCTGACCTTCTTGCTCACTGACTTAGGTGAGCGGCCTAGCTCTGCCCCGGTCCTGTACGCTGACAACAGGGCCATGATACTCCTGTGTCAGGAGCCTCAGCTTGAGGGCAGAGCGAAGCATATCCAGCTTTGGTACTTCCTCGTGCGCGAGCTACAGCAGCGACGCCAGGCCCGCGTAGTTCACTTGGCCTCATGTGCCAACACAGCTGATATCTTTACTAAGGCGCTTGCGCCTAAAGTTCATCAGCGGCACTGTGTACAGCTTGGTCTTGTTCCTGTAGCTACTCACCTGTTAGGATCCTGATTGTTTACTCTCTATTATATATGCCTGTCAGACTGTCCTTGTGGCCTTACCTCCAGTGGCTGGACTAGTAGTGCCGTCCTGGCTTGCTTTAGTCTTGTTTGTACCCTTGCTGACTGGTCTCCTGACCCCTGTCTGAGTGGTTGGACTAGTAGTGCCACCCTGAGCTGTTTGCTTCTTGCTTAGCTTCACCCCTTGTCCAGCCTAGGGGGTGTGTCAACTTATACATGTTAGTTGTGTACAAGTTATAGGCTAGACTGGGGTATGCTTCTAGTGAGTACAACCAGCTAGTATTTGTTCTACTTCTACTTTATCATTCAGTTCTTACTTTAACACTTGGCGGCCAGAAACATTTCCCCCACAACACCCTGCAACCCAAAAATTTCGACGAAGTCCCTGGCGGCCAGAGTCATTCCTCCCACCCCACGCACCATGCAAACCAGCAATTTCGGCAAAGTCGTAGCCAGAGTCATAACTCCCCCACCCCCTCGCAACACAGAAATGGCTAAGTCCCCGCCAAGAGTCATGCCTCCCCCACCCACACCCCCAGTACTTTTTTTTTCTCGCTAAGTCCTCCACACCACTGTTAGACACGTCACGTCGTATACACCCTTCTGACACCCAACCAATCATGAGCAGGTGGTTTTTTTCCCGCCCCTCTGCCGCCCATGTAAATCTGATTCCCCTCTCGCGCTCGTTTTCCGTCCCATCCCCCAATCTCCCCCAGCACGCGCAAATCCGCTACAGAATACAATTCTTTCCACACCTCAGTGCTGCCCACTTCATTCATGTAAAATGTTCCTTCAAGCGAGAGGTTATAATAGTGACCCCTCTTTCTAGTTGGGCCCAACTAGAAATGACCCAACAATGAATATGTTTTTGGAGGGGCAAGCAGCAACCCGCGTTTTTTACCAAGCCGTAGGCCACGAAATCGAATTGCGCTTGCGACATTTCGCACTGGCGATAGATTTTACGACCACAGATTCACGCAGTTAGCATTTCGACCAATCGGGGCCCAACCTCGTTTTTGCTGGAGTAGTGAACCTCGGTCCAACTTGAAATTCGAGTTGGGCCCACTTGGTGCAGCTTACAGGCAGTGGGGCCTGGGCGACAGGTAGCGCGCTGCTTGCGATTTTTCCTGAGCCACGTTTCCCATCGTACGTCATGTGTTTCCCGTCAACCAATCAGGTAACTGCCTCTTCTCGTTCAATTTCCACTGCTCGCATTTCTGGACAGTGTTCCATCTGCCCCGTCGCAGTTTTGTCCCTTAGTAGCAAAAACGGACGTCTGGACCCTTTCAAGTTGGACCCGCCTTCACTATTTTGACCTCTCGCTTTAAATGGCCAAGGCTAGAAAGGGTGCAAAGAGTTCTACACTTAAAGCAAAGACTTCGAAATTTTTTACCCTGCCAAATCAGACTTTGATTTTTTTTTAGCTCTAGCCGTCAAGGTATTTTCTTTTTCCTACTCTGATTTCAAAGAGTGGCCTAAAACCAATTTTGGGCTCTGGTCACACACAGTGCGTGGCGGTGGAGTGTGGAGGTACCAGGGCTTCAGAAGTCATGCCAAAAAGGCCTGAAAGCCTGTATATCAGGGTATTTTCTAGGGCATACCCTGATTTTTCAGGTTTTGATTTTTATCAAACCTGAAATCTATGTGTTCCCATTTTCTAAGGCCTGAAAAATAGTATGTTCTTGTTTTACCGAGCCTGACGAATCAGCCTTTCTCGAAATTCGCCCTGAATCTGAATCTTATCTGCCAAGGCGAGCTAGAGCACGTGTGAGGGGCATGGCTGGTCCTTGACCAGAATCACGCAAGTTCGAGGCGAGGTGGGGCAGGTGTGAGGGGCGTGATTGGTCCTTGACAAAAAATGACGCAATTTCGAGGCGAGCTAGAGCAGGTGTGAGGGGCGTGATTGGTCCTTGACCACAATCACGGAACTTCAAGGCGAGCTACAACAGGTGTGGGGGGCGTGATTGGTCCTTGACCAGAATCACACAAGTTCCAGGCGAGCTGGAGGAGGTGTGAGGGGGTTGATTGGTCCTTAGTTAAAATCAGGCAGGAATCTGACGAGAAGAATTGTACGCAGTGAAGTCCGATCCGACCTAAGAATCAGAAACTACAAAAATGTAGGCCTGATAAGTCAGAATAAAAAAAACAATTGGCCTGAAAAAACATGCCACGCCCAAAACCCGACCCTGAAAAACATGGGCTCTCACATGGGCGACCCTGAGCAATCAGCCTCCCTAAAACCAATATGAGGGCCTGGGAGGTACCCTACGATTGGATTGACCTAAACCAGCTCTAGTCCCCAGTTCAAAGTGCTTCTCATCTCATGCATCCACACACGAGCCACTAAACATGCCCGTGGTGCCGGCCACTTTGGTCCTCAGCTGCGGCTGAATGAGCCCCTGGGGGTGCTGCACCTGCTGCTGTGCGTGCTCCAATGCCCACGCCACCTGGGGGGGTGCGGCGGATGTGGTCTGTGTCACGAGACCAGGTAGCTAGGAAGCCATGGAATGGCACAAGGGTTTAGCTAGGAGAAGGTTGACGAGAGAAAAGAGAGCGAGAATAGAAGAGAGAGGGATACAAGGAGGGGTGTTGTACCCTCTACATTAGGTTTCAGTAACGCCTACCAAGCCTACAGTTATATAACAAATATGATTTACCGTCACACATCCCCTAGGCTTGGTAGCGGCAAGCCCACCACACACACAGCACACTAAGCCACACACCCCCTAGCACCCCCATACTCAGCAGCAGCGACAGCTACTTCAGCACGGTCAACCCCACGGTGCGTGAGGTGGGGCGACGTCGACAACGAGGGCAGCGGCTGCAACGGCGGCGATGGCGGCAGCGTCGACAGCAGCGGCGGCGGCGGCGTGCGGCGGCGTGGCCAGCGGCACCAGCTGCGGCGGCGGCGGCTTCGACGACAGCTGCCGGCGGCGGCGGAGCTCGCAGCACTCGGCGGCGTGGCCGGGCTCCGCGACGGTGGGACGGCCGGCGCGATTCAGCCATCGGCTGCGGCAAGGAAGAGGGGACGCAGGGGAAGGGGGGCAGAGCTTCAGCAGCAGAGCCCGGGAGCGTGCCGCCCCGTGTGGCGCGCTGGCTCATGCGGGTGTGCTGGCCAGCGCTAAGACAGGGCGCTGGCCGTTGCCGTCCGTGCCGTTCGCGCGCTGTCGCGTAGACGCTGCGGCAGCACGACGGCGCCGTCACGCCGCCACGGCTTGACGTCGACGCCACGACAGTGCGACGCCATGGCAGCGCGTCGCGACGGCCGCGGCAGCACGACGCGGTCGGCGGCACGACGACGCCAACACAGCAGCACGACGCGGCCGGCGGCACGACGAAGCGGCCACAGCAGCACGACGCAGCCGCCATGGCAGCAAGAGAGAGAGAGAGAGAGAGAGAGAGAGAGAGAGAGAGAGAGAGAGAGAGAGAGAGAGAGAGAGAGAGAGAGAGAGAGAGAGAGAGAGAGAGAGAGAGAGAAACGAGCACGCGGCAGAAGCGTGGGGAGCAGGCCCGGGAAGGGCGACCTGCTCTATTACCATGTCACGAGACCAGGTAGCTAGGAAGCCATGGAATGGCACAACGGTTTAGCTAGGAGGAAGTTGACAAGAGAAAAGAGAGCGAGAATAGAAGAGAGGGATACAAGGAGGGGTGTTGTACCCTCTACAGTAGGTTTCAGTAACGCCTACCAAGCCTACAATTATATAACAAATATAATTTAACAGTCTAAGCCTCAAAGTGAGGGGCCTTTCATCTGATTTTTTGACGGGCTAAATTAATTCGTCTGATCGTCTAGATAAGCCATAAGATTTCGTCTGAAAGTACAGACTAGGTGTAGACTTTCGTCTGAGAATTCAGATAGCGCGGATTTTTCGTCTGATTCATTCCTCGTCCCCCCGCGCCCTAGCCGTCCGTCCTAGCTGGCCCCCGCGCCCGTCCTACCGGCCCCCGCGCCCGTCCTAGCCGGCCCCGCGCCCGTCCTAACGGGCCCCGCGCCCGTCCTATTGGCCCTGCGCCCGTCCTAACTGGCCCCGGCGCCCGTCCTAACGGCCCCCGCGCCTGTCCTAGCCGGCCCCGCGCCCGTCCTAGCCGGCCCCGCGCCCGTCCTAGCCGGCCCCCGAGCCCGTCCAAACGGCCCCCGCGCCCGTCCTAGCCGGCCCCGCGCCCGTCCCACCGGCCCCCGCGCCCCGTCCTACTGGCCCCCGCGCCCGTCCTAGCCGGCCCCGCGCCCGTCCTAGCTGGCCCCGCGCCCGTCCTAACTTGCCCCTGCGCCCGTCCTACCGGCCCCCGCGCCCGTCCTAGCCGGCCCCACGCCCGTCCTACCGGCCCCAGCACCCGCCCTCGGCCCGTCCTAGCCGACCCTGCGCCCGTCCTTCCTGGCCCCCTGCGCGAGCCCTGCCCGTCGACCTCTGGCCCCGTGCTCACCTTCCTGCCGGCCTCCCGCCAGCTCTTCGGATACTGCCCTGCACCCTCCCTAGTACGGTTCTGCATTCCCCTGCACCGCACTGTACCGCACTGCACCGCCCTGCACCGCACTGCACTGCGCTGCACTGCACTGCACTGCACAGCATCGCACTGTACCGCACTGTACCGCACTGCACCGCACTGCACTGCACTGCCCCCCGCACTGTCCCGCACAGCATCGCACTGCGCTGTCCTGCACTCCACTGACTCGCCTGGCGCCGCCTTGCACTGTTCCTGATGGCGAGGGAGCTTTGCTTAGACGCTGAAGGCCAGCCTCTGGAGTTCGAGGCCTGGCTAGCCGACCTCCGCCGCCACCTCACTCGCCAGCGACAGGAGGGCCACTCGCTTTCGGTACACCTTGACGGTAGGCTTCCCTGCCCAGACCCCCCTGATGTGCTGCCAGCTGATCCCACACCTGCTGAGCGTGAGTCTTCTGCGGCCACTGCCCTTGCTCGCTCTGTTTGGCATTCCCGTGATGCTGTCGCACAGCTTGCTATTAGCCATGCCCTCCCCCTGTCTGAGCGCCCACGCTTTCGGTCTATCACCACCGCCCAGGCTTTCTTAGATGCTGTTATCCAGCGCTATTCCACCCCGTCTGTTGCCTCGGTGGGTCGCATGATCCTCCCTCTCCTCTTCCCTGACCTAGCGTCGTTCCCCACGGTTGCTGATCTCGCTGCCCACCTCCGCACGATAGATGAGACCTGGCGCGCTGCCTGCACTAACGCACAGCTTAGAGCCCATCAGCCGCCCCTTGCCTCTACCCTCTACCTGCTTGCCACCCACCTTCCTGACCGCCTTGCTGCTGCTCGTGACCGCTTCCTTAGCATTCACCCTGGTGACCTCACCCTCACACACTTTGTAGACACCCTGACTGTTATCGAGACCCGCCACCGCTCGTGCCGGTCCCTATCTTTCAGGGTTGTGCCCCCGCTCAGTGCACCTTCTCTGATGGTTCTGCAGCTGTGGCTGAGACCGCCGCTGCAGCGCAGTTCCGTCCGGGGAAGGGTCGCCGCCCCAAGTCTGGGCACGGCGGAGGGGGTGGGGGTGCAGGTGGAGGTACTGGTGGAGTCGGGTCGCCTGGTGGTGGAGCGGAAGAGGGGACCCTGCCGGGTTCGGCTGAGCAGCCGCCCCAGCAGCCGCCGCAGCAGCAGCAGCTACAGCAGTCGCAGCAGCCGCAGCAGTCGCAGCCCCACAACCAGCCGCAGCAGCCGCAGCCCCACCACCAGCCGCAGCAGCCGCAGCAGACGAGGCCGGCGAGTGGGCTCTAGACCGGGTGGCCTGGCGCTGGTGGTGGCCGTGTGCGTGGTGGTGTACCGGGTGGCGGTTCGGGAGGCGTGCGCTGTCAGTACCAGCTCCAGACCGGTCCTCGTCGCGGCTTCGTTTGCGGTAAGATCGGTCACACCACTGCCCGCTGTTTTCGTCACCTGGACGACCTGTTTCGTCAGCGCTTCGGCCCGTCGCCCGACCTCCCGGACTGGCACAGTTTGCTTAGTCGTAGAGTTCAGATTTTTCACATGGACATGGATGCCATTGTTGCTGCCCAGCATGTGATGTATGCTCATGACTCTAGTGTGCTACCCTCTTATTACTCCTTGTCACCTAGTGTAGGTGTGCCTAGCTTAGCCTCCCTTACTGCGTCAGGCGTAGGAGCTCCTGCTTTGTTTAGCCTTGGTGCTTCCGTCGTTGCCCCGTCGCCACATGCCACTGCTGCGCTTTCCTTCACCTTGGACTCTGGCACTTCCGAGTGTTTCTTCCGCGACTCCACTACGCTGACGCCGCTTCCTGTTCCTGCTGCAGTTTCTCTTGCTGACCCCTTCGTGACACTTCCCTGTCCGGCGGTTCCTTCGGGCTCTCTCACAGGTCTGCATATCCCCTCGTTCTCCATGAACCTAGTTAGTGTCGGCTGCCTCCAGGACATTGGCGTCACCACTACGTTCCCTGGTCACGAGCGGTATGCTATCCGTACCGAGGCCGCCACTGGTGCCCCCCTGTCCACGTTCCCCCGGAACCAGGTGTCCGGCCTGTTCACTCTGGACACCGCGACCCCCCCGGCTGGGGCGCCTCCTCAGGTGGCTGCGTCTTCCCAAGTTGCTGCTGCCTGCTCCTGTCGGTCCCTCACTCACCCGACTCTCCTGTGGCACCACCGCCTAGGTTACCCTGCGCTCCCGTGCATGTCCCAGCACGGTCTCGTCTTTGGTCTCCCCGGTTAGTTTCCCGCTTTTCCCTCCTCCCCCGCTCCACTGTGTATGCCTTGTGTCGAGGGTCGGCTTCGCCGTGCCCCTCACTCCTCCTCGTTTCCCGCTACCTCCGCGCCGCTGCAGACCCTGCACATGGATGTCTGGGGCCCCGCCCCCGTCCATGGGCCACTTCGAGAGCGCTACCTCCTAGTGCTTGTCGACGACTTCACTCACTACACCACAGTTTTTCCCCTAGAGCGAAAGGCTGACGTGCCTGACGCTCTCATCCCCTAGCTTGTCTCTGCGCGTGTCCACCGAGGTCTCCCTGTCTTGCGTCTTCACTTAGACCGTGGTGGCAAGTTTGCCTCAGGTGCCCTTGGTCGCTTCTGTCCGTTCCGGTCTCGTGTCTTGATGCTCTTGTCGCTGCGATCCCTGACTTTGCCTCTACCCGCCGCCTTGACTACGCCACCGCTCTGGTCTCTGACCCTGCCTGTCCTCCGTCTGTGGGGGGTGCTCCTGCCCTTGGCAGTGACGTCATGGAGGACCGCCAGTTCGAGCTTGCTTTCCTGTCAGAGGTTGCTCCCCATCTCTGTTCCATGCTGCTAGTCCCTGAGGGTGACCCAGATGCCTTCGACATCCCGACCCCTCGCACTTACGCTGAGGCGACCTCGGGACCTTGGGCATCTCAGTGGATAGCTGCCATGGACCACGAGATGGCATCTTGGAGATCCACCGGCACCTACGTCGACGCAGTTCCCCCACCTGGGATGAACGTAGTCGATGGCCGTTGGCTCTTCAAGGTGAAGCGCCCTCCTGGAGAGCCGCCTGTGTTCAAGGCGCGCTACGTGGCTAGAGGTTTCAGTCAGCGTGAGGGGGTGGACTTCTTCCAGACCTTCGCTCCGACCCCGAAGATGACTACTCTTCGGGTGCTGCTACACGTAGCTGCCCAGCGTGACTACAAGATTCACTCCCTCGACTTCTCCACTGCGTTTCTTCAGGGCAGCCTACACGAGCAGGTCTACATGCGTCGCCCTCAAGGTTTCACTGGCACCTCCCCTCCTGGGACCCAGTGGCTCCTGCGGCGTCCCATCTACGGCCTGCGGCAGGCTCCCCGTGAGTGGCACGACATGCTGCGTGCTACCCTTGCTGACCTGCAGTTCTTTCCGTCCTCCGCAGACCCCTCACTCTTCGTTCGTACTGGCCAGACTCCGTTCTACATCCTCGTTTACGTGGATGATCTGGTCTTTGCCACAGCAGACAGGGACGCACTGGCCTTCGTGAAGGCAGAGCTGCTGAAGAGACACACTTGCACTGACCTTGGAGAACTGCGCCATTACCTTCGTTTGCAGATCTCCAAGGATAGAGCAGCGCGCACCATCACTTTGACTCAGTCACACTTGGTGCGCCAGGTCCTTCACAGGTTCGGCCTTCAGTTCTCCTCTGCACAGCCCACCCCTCTGCCTCTAGGCCACAGACTCTCTGCTCCAGTTCCTGAGGAGTCAGTAGAGCCAGTGGCCCTTACGCAGAGCTGGTGGGTTGCCTCATGTACCTGATGACTTGCACTCGCCCAGATCTCGCATACCCTCTCAGCATCCTGGCTCGCTTTGTGGCCACAGGTAGTCACCGACCGCAGCACAGGTCTGCTGCTAAGAGGGTTTTGCGGTATCTCGCAAGTACATCGGGCATGGGGTTAGTGCTAGGAGGACGCAGGCCAGTGGTCCTTACCGGACACTCAGACGCTTATTGGGCAGACGACGTCAAGACCCTCAGGTCTTTCCAGGGCTACTGCTTCAGCCTTGGTTCAGGTGCCGTCTCGTGGAGAGCTACGCGCTCCTCGTCTGTTGCCCAGTCCAGCTGTGAGGCCGAGATCTATGCCGGTGCCATGGCGGCACAGGAGCTCCGCTGGCTGACCTTCTTGCTCACTGACTTAGGTGAGTGGCCTAGCT